TTCCTTCCTTCCTTCCTTCCTTCCTTCCTTCCTTCCTTCTTTCTTTCTTTCTTTCTTCTCTGATCTCCTTGCCATGTTAGGAAACCATGATGGATCACCCCCTCCAGACCATCTCCTACATTGCTGACATTGGGAACATCGTGGTGCTCATGGCCCGTCGGAAGCTCCCTCGCCGGGCAGATGCTTCCACCGAAAAACAGCTGTACAAAATGATCTGCCACGTGTTCCACTCGTCTGACGTGAGTGTGGGGAGAGGTTGTTGGTGGACAACATGGACAATCAGAGTTCAGATGTGCACCGCTGCCTCAGTTAGATTAGATCTTGTCGTGTTAGAATAACGGCACGCTTGGAAAAAAGATAGTCCTGTAACTGTAGAAATGCTTGTCATTTGCTGCTTCCTGTCCTACAGGCTCAGCTGATAGCCCAAGCCATTGGGCAGGTCTTTAGCGTGGCTTACCAGCACTTCCTGCGGGCCAGTGGCATTGACCCCAGCCAGCTCGGCTCCATGCAAGACCAGAACGATGATGAGAAGGATCCTGGCCTGATCGAGGGGGAGGAACTATATAATGGAGACCTGGCTCACTTCTCCAAGCAAGAGAACTGTAAGGAAGTAAGAATGGAGAGGAGGTGTTTTGCTAGAGGTGGAGCACATTGGAACTGCATACCCACCACAGAGGAAATGGCTCTACCCATCTCAGATGCTCTCCCTCTGTATGGGCCTGTGGAATTGGCCAGTGGTTTAGCGGGCCACTCAATCTCCGCTAATCTAGTTGGCTCTCTGGGTGCATTGGACTACAACTCCATGACATGATACAAAAAGACAGACAGACAGACACACACACACACAGAACCTGTAGTTGGCTGGAATGAGGGAAGCTGTAGTCTGATACACCCATTGAGCTTTTGTTGGCAGAAAGCTCATTATTTTCACCGTCTTGCTGTTTAGCTGCCTTTCAGGCAGATACACAAGAAAAGATCAAGACTTGTTTTTGAAAAGTCGGCCCGCTGAGGGTTGTAGTCAGGGGTGGGATTCAGCCGGTTCGGACCAGTTCGGGCAAAGTGGGTGTTAATTTTACATCTGATTCACCGAACCGGTAGTTGCAAGGACTGGCTGGCCCCGCCCATCCCTCCCCTCCCAGAAGTCTCCACATGGCCTGTTTATCATGCCAGGTAAGTGCAGGGCCCATGCGGAAGCTCTGGGAGGGTGAAAAATGAGCATTCCGGAAGTTCCAGAAGTCTGGAAACAGGCTCTTTTCTGGCCTCCGGAGGACCTCTGGATCCCGGGGAAGGCTGTTTTTGCTCTCCCGGAGGCTCGAGGAAAGCTTCTGAAGCCTGGGGAGGGCAAAAAACAGGCCTCTCAGAAGTTATGGAAGTCTGGAAACGGACTTGTTTCCAGCTTCCGGAGCCCAGGGGAAGGTGTTTTCAGTCCCTCCCTCTCAGAGCCTCTGGAGTCCAGGGAGGGCCAAAATGCCTCCCCCCCCATCATGTAGGTGGCTGAGTAGGCCACACCCACCAAGAGGCTGAGTAGACCCACCCAGCAACTGGGTAGAGAACCAGTTCCTAGCATTTTTCAATCTCACCCCTGGTTGTAGTGAATGGAAAAATCCCCAGCTGTGTGCCCAAGTATGGGCCCTTTTATAACCTGTGGACCTCAACTCCCAGAATTCCTGAGCCATCATGGCTGGGAGTTGATGTCCACAGGTCATGAAAGGACTATAGTTGCCCACCCCTGCCCAAGAGGGTTTACAAAATGTACTGAATTTGATAAACCTTGGGAAAGATGTATAAGTAGTTACTGAGCACAGCTATTTGCAGCATCGATCCCATGGCCATATTTTATGATGTTTTTTTGCCAAAAGCTAGCATTTACTTCCAGTTTTCATCAAAAGTAGCCCATAGCAAACCATTGATTCACTGAACAACCCTCATTTTAAAAAGGTCATAAAATCAGGCCAGTCATGTGGGTGACCGGCTTTACAGCCATCACGACTTAATGACCATAATGAGAAGGCTCCATTACTTTCATAAGTGGAGGACTTCCTGTATTGGGTCATATTTTAATGGTAAGGTATTTCAATAATATTAATGGATAAAAAAATAAATGATCCCGATACTTTAAAACTTTAAGTTTTTCAATTTGCCGCCTCTATTTTGTCCAGGGTGAGAACATGCCGGATTCTCTAGAATGTTCCATCTTTTCCCCAGACCGTTAACCCCGGAGGGAGTGATTTGACAGTTTTCTGGCTATAAATGTTCTTGATATAGGAAGTGGTTCTGGAAGAGTAATATCCAATGTCCTGGGGAAAAAAAACCCAAAATATTTTCCTCAGAACAATTCATCTCCTGGATTTCTTTAAACTTTACACAGCAATGCTTTGCCCAGATGTTTTTTTTCCCCTTCTTCTCAGCAAGTTATTTTTTCAAAGAAAATAATGCTTTCCTAAAGTGGGTGAAAGAAAGACAAGAGGGTTAAACAGCAGTAGACGTATTTTCTTTCAGTTGGAGGGGGTGGGAAGACTCATTGCGTCAAAAAAAAATAATTGTGTCCCAACTTGCAACGGAAATAACTCCGTGGTTTGTCAGGCCAGAACGTGAGCAGCAAAGGAAAACGTGGAACTTACCTTCTCTGTTGCGCTTGGTTGCAATTCCTTGCAATTTCTTCTCTGTCCCCAGAGCTTCTGAAATATACGACAAATTGTTGGTTTCCAGTTGCACAAAGTATTTTCAGTTGCATGGTATTTTCCTGTTTGTTTAAAAAAAAAAAACAGAAAATACATGCTAAAATAGCTGTAGTAAATCAGCTGTGATCTGGTTTCACACACCGTGACCCAACAAAAGCGCGTCGACAAAAGCGCGTCGAAAAAACCACGACATCATAAATGCGCCCACAACAATGCGCCGACAAAACCGCGCCCACAAAAGCACAATTTAAGTTTAGGGTTAGGGTTAGGGTTAGGTTCAGGGTTAGGGTTAGGGTTA